TGATGAGACTGGTGCGCCGAGGACGCCTACTTCAAGCCATCGGACCATTTGAAATTCTTACAAAAATAAACTTTCGGTACTTTCTAGTTAAAATTGGTTTGGAAGTAGCGATTTGATTTAAATATTTATTGTATTAAGTGTAAATCAAATTAGGTACTTTACGTATCCATTCACTTATAGAAACAATGTAAAATGTTTGCCATCCTATGATGAAGACATTAAGCGAAATGGTGTAGGGCAGTTACAAGCACCTAAAGGCAGGATGCACCTAAAGGAGACTTTCATGATGCTGAAAAATTCAAGCAGCTCAAAGAAAACCGAAAATTTTCAAAATTTTTCTAATCTTTAACATATATTAACAGGGCCCTGAAAACTGAAAAGCACATATCGTCTATTCTTAGTAAAGGTTTATCTTTATTTACCTTATAAGTTATGTACAAGACTTTTCACTATAAGATAAATATAATTTTTATTTCAATTTAGGGCTCACTTTGATTTGTCCACTTGGAATCAGTTAACTTCAAAGAACTTTAAAGCTTCTTTCAGAATTTGTGTTTTCTTTTTGGAAATTGATCTCGGGCTTAATAACACGTAATGAGTTAATTACGTGTCATTAGCAAAAACACGTTGATATTCACTTATTTTTAGCAGGAAAAATCTATTTAATCTTGGAAACTGTCAGATAAAAGAGTTCATTTTCCATTATGTTTTCAAATTACGCTTAGTATATTTGGAATACTTACGTCTGAAGGCCACTGGTCATTACAAGCAATGTCTGGCATGTTTATAGCAAATATTGCATATTATGTCTACGTTCATACGTAGAGGATCCATGTTTCGTGTTTGCCAAATCTTAGCAATGTTCGCGCGCACAGAGTTGCTAAACTTGTTGTTTCTAAGAACTTAGTAATTTTTTTTTTTTATGGCTTTATACGGTGTTAAAACCTAATTAACTATAAACGTGTTCCAATTTATTAAAATATATTGAACGTTTTGTGGTGATATTCATTTTGGTTTTTACAGTCAGGACTTGATTCTTTCGTCAAAAAGTCTCTTTCTTGTTTTTCGCGTATTATTGCTTCCAAACTTTAGAGATGCCTAAAAGTTTAAGTATTAACATCATATTCTAACGGAAGACAAAAAACAGAGATGTTAAAATATGCAATGGAGTCCAAGAAAAGCGACCATTAAAACCAAAATGATTAACATTTTTTAGTTCCTCAAATATTGAGTTCTACATTGTGATTCTTTCCACAAATTAAGTTCTACATTGTGATTGTACCATTTTAATGGTAACTAACATATTTTCTATTTTTGAACATTTTCAGGGATTTTAATAATTCCTTTATTATATTGATTAATTATATTCCGATATAATATATAATATAATTTGTAATACAATTTTATTATCATTACACATAAAGAATTTAAAACTATTCTAGGGCCAATGAGACCAAATGGATTAACATTCATTTTTAATCATACTCGCCTCAACCCTTTTTTTGCAAACTATGAACAAAATTGCATTTGTGGTTGAAAGGCGGAAAAATTGAAACGATATTAATAGAAAAATAAAACAAGTGAAAATTGCCCAAAAACTCGGGAAGGAAAATGTTTATCATTGGAACATAAAAAATATTTATATAGTGTTTTAGAAAAAAATACAACGGTATCCGATAAAGTAGTTGCTTTTAGGTCTACCGGGCTCCGGCAAAGAGTAGTACACAACTTGCGGTACCGGGTATATTAAACATAGATGTTGCTCATGTTTTTGTCTCAGTATATTAGGCTAGATACAACTAAAAATCCGAACATTACTGGTTCCACATAGTTCTTGGTGACAATATCTTATCCATTTAATCACCAAAAAAAAAAAACATTGAAAACATGAATACATTTTCATCATTGATCAGCAAAGTAGTATTATTAGTATTAATCCATCCATGCTGGAAAGGCAAACACTATGGGCCGTGTTAATTGGAGGCTTTTCCATACCTACTAAATTATCTACATATCTATTTTTTATTAAAATTATGCAGAAACTTAAACGTATGATAGACTACATCTAGTTGTAGGAAGTTGCATTTGGGTGGGTTTAGTTTTTGTTGTTCGATACAATGTTTTGTGTTGTTATTTTATGACTTTGTTCTTGTTTTCTAAATTATTTTTATTTGTTTGTTTATGTATTTAATCTTGATATTTTTGTTTTTGCTATCCTTCATTTATATAGTTATGTGCCCTTATTTAATATTCAAATATATTTGTCTATCTTTCCAATATTTCTCATTTTAATATTATTTGCTAACATTCTTGATTAATATTTCTCATATATTGTTCACATATTCTTTAATATATATATATACTTTATCTTCATTTTAATATTCTTCATATTTTTTCCTTATTCTTTAACAATCTTGACATATTTAATATTCCTCGTGTTCTTTCAACTGACTGGTTATTGCATTACGAAATGCAATACGATGCCAGGTGCCCCCAATTAATTAGTGATTACGTTAGCATTAAGTCACCTATTAGAATTAAGTATAAATAGTGCACCTTTTTAATAAAGAACTCAATTGTTATCAAGCAATTCAAAATAACAAGCGTATTAATCCGCTGAAATCTCAAAGGCGTTCAATCCGCCAAAACCATAAAATTTAGGGACCGTCTCTTGCCGAGACTTATTGGCATCTTAAGAGACGGACAGACTTGGCGCTTATGAAGCCGAGCAGCTTAGGGCTAAACTGCGGTACACTTAGTCACACTTTGGAAAGATAACTAGAGAGTCTTTCCAATAAACACGATAATTTGTGCACACCAAATTTTTTCATTACAATATTTATATTATATTAATAAGTGGGGCCTTATTTATTATTGTAAATACTCTGGGTATCATCCGCTGGAGGATCAGATCGCTGAATACCTCTCCATGGCCGAATGGTACAAACTCTTCTTCGGACTCAGCTTGGAGTTTGTAGCTCATTTCATCGATGAGGAGGTAGTTGTCATCAGCTCTGATTCCTTCTACCCATCGTTCCACCTGCAGGATCATCAGGTTTTTTATCATCGCCGATGTTTCTTCTGATGAAAAACCTTTCACACAGATCCTGGCTTACCCTGTATGGCGCAATATTTATGCCAGGGTAAGCCTCTAGTAGTTCGTCCATGAGTGCTGCGAAGTTTCTGATTGTTAGCCGGGTGTTCACCGCTTTTACCTCCATTCATGTACCGCTGTTGTTGGAAGTTCGGTAACCTTGTCAACATTCCATCATCCATCCATCGCCATCATCATCTGCGATCTCCACGTTGTCGATTGCCGCTTGGAGTGTTGCGCCCTGCACATCATTCAGCATCTGTACTGAAATGGCAATCCCCCTGGCATTTCCAAGAAATCCTCTGTCAGCCATAAATCTGTCGAAGACGCCAGTCCTCACGTCCAAGCCCAGTGGCTAGGAGATTCTCCTCAAGTAGCGGCCCCTATAGGAGCGGAATAGAATAATATAAGTTATCTAAAGTTATTTGGTCCTTTTACCACATTTTGATGATTTGGAATCTTCGTCCTTGCAGTCTGCCACATTTAAACATCACTGTAGGTTGCGTTTATTACAGCATAATTTTTAAAAACCGATTGCCTTTAAAATCAATTTTGCCTCCACTCATCGAAATAAGAGTCTATTTTGAATGCCTGCTGTTGAGTCCGGCAGGCGATCCGAATAGAATCAGACCACATGTAGCATACATAATGAAATCATTCATGTTATATTTTAAGGGGATATTACAAATAATGCCATATCTTCCAATAAAATTTTTCAGAATGTCAGCCTTAAGCCTTTTGCTGCCAGTTTTTTCTTTTAACAAAATTATTGGCATTTAAGGCCTTGCTAGAAGCAGCTTAGCTTTTAGAAGTAATTTGATGACGTGTTAGGACCGCTATATTTTTATTGGACCTATCAGAAACGATCGCCTTGGTGGTTAGCCTGATCTTTTTCGCCAGTTGAGGGTTTACTTGCAAATTTTCTCCTAAAACTTTAACTTTGGAAGAGGTCAACAGATAATAATTTATTATTAAGGTAAATGCGCTTCAAACAGCGAACCCGAACACGGTTTGGTGTTCATCGCTCTTCGTAGCTCTGCTGTCAACGTAATCGTATTTTATAAATCCGTCTTCCGAACGGACGTAATTGGCACTTCTGCTTGTAAACACATCGTCGATGTGTCGATAACAAATTTTGTATTGCTCAGTCAAAGGATAGGTGCACTTCCTTTGACGTTCCGCATTGTCTCTCTTCCACGGGCTATATACGCAGTTAATTTTCTAATATGTCTCCTTGCTAAGTCAGGATGTTTCAATCTGAAATGCCAAAACAATGGAACCGATAAAAATACAACTGCATTTTAATAATAGGAGTTAAGTGAACTTAACTTATGACATTCCGTTTCATACCGTGTATTACGGGAAGAAAGGGAAGCCAGCGAACAATGCCATGAAACAAGCCTTAATTTGTTCTATATATATATGTACTTTGTTTAGCAAATTTAATAATAAACAGCATATCTGGTGTGGCGTTTATAGAGACCACACCAAAACTTTTTACGTACAGAAAGAAAACTATTTTTTTTTAATAAATAGTGCGGCTAAAATAAAACCTAAGATATTTTGTAAATCGTTATTTTGGCAATCATGTCTGTTCTGGCATGTATTCTTTGATTACTTGGCAGCATTAGGGGAATGACATATGTTGTATATAAAATGAGTAAATCTATTTATTATAAGGAAAGTAAGGAGGTCTTCAAACGGAAAATTTTTTCTAGTATATTTTGTTTTCTTTGCAATTGAAATATCTACTAAAGAAAGAACACAAATATTTCGCAAATATAAGAAAACTGTTGACAAAAATTTTACAATAAATTTATTTTGATAAATCGTATTAAAATTCCATCCAATGAATAACTTTGAATAACTTTGGCGAGCGATTGGAAAAACAAATGTAAAGTTTTAAGTGAAATTTTTTTATTGATTTTTTCGTGCTAAACTGTCACTAGTTGAAAATTCGATTTCTTCTCACTTTAAAAGTTAAAAACAAAGACATATTAAAACATAAAGAAACAAATTCTAAGAAATAATGAATAAATTATAGTTATGAAAATATTAATTGCATTATGAAGTGATGGTGTTGGCTTAAGAAAATAAAATTAACAACAAAAATGAAAGAATATGCAAAACGAATTCTTTAAGGAATATTAAATAAAATAGATATTTTCCTATTCTTTTTTCATTTAACAGAAAGCATTTTTTTTTTTATTATTTAATTACGTCTCACACTTCGTGGTTTTGTGTGCCTGCGTACATCGTAATTTGCCGTTTTATTTCTACAAGTCTCTCGTTTTACGCTCTCCTACATATTTTGAGTTTATGTTCCGTTGCGTGCTTTAAAAGCAATTTGAATTGTACTTGTAATTCACTTCTCTTTTCGATTTTGTTTTGCAACAATTAAATATTTCCATCATCTATAGTCGAATTCACCATCCGCGTTTATGCGTGCAATAGATCTAGAGTCATCGAAAATATATTGTTCGAAAATTGGGTGTTGGCATTATCGTGGCTTCATGAATATATGAAAAAAGATTGGTTTAATGCTTTTGTGACTGAAAACTAATTTGGGCAATATCGGGAATATAAGTGAAGTGCTGATTGGAAGGTAATTCTTTCATTTGAATTGTTACTCTTCGGTTTGGGTAGCAACTGGTACGTGTGTGTTTGTGAAGTGGTGGCGGCGGGCATCAACCGAGTTGGCCTTCTAAAGGGCAAAATAATTTCGTTTACTGTCGTTAGGGTGCATATTGATGATGATGGCGCCTGATTCAAGGTCGTTTACTATACGCAGTCGCTCCCCGGCTTCATCTATTTACTTGTTATGTTTTTCTGCGATATTTTTCAACTTGTTTGCTCCAACCGTACAGGTGAGTTTTATTACGCTTACAGTTACATTTGCATCTACACGAATGCATTCCCTGAATAAACAACTCATTTGTATAATCGTCTATAAACATGTTTATATATTATACATAGTTAGCTATTAATACTTACGTATATATATATATATATATATATATGCATACATATATATGATTATGATTCATAGGAGATGTATGAACAAAAACCTTTATCTGCTCTATACCAACACTTATGGTCATGGTTACTAACGTATGTGTGAATTGTTGTGTCGCACTTTGTTATATATGATAGTACATATAATAATATATAATATTCTCTCTCGCTAAAAGGTTGATGATCATTTACTTCTTGTTAAATGATTTTTGCGTGAGGCTTTGCAATGGATTTTTCAAAAGTGTAAACGAAAGTTTATTCCTTTGATTTGCAATGCTGTGCCTCCTCTCAAATGTACGGGAGCGATGTTTCGAACGTTGTCGACGTTATATTATTTAATGTATTGATTGTTCTTGCTATTTAATGAGTACGTCGCATTGAAGACGTGTAATGTTAGTATGTTATTAGACTTTGTAGAGCGGCTTACAAAATTTGGAAAAGTGGCCCTAATGCGGTTACTTGGGAGATTTTCTTGTAGTTACTAGGCACGTGAAACGATTATATTTTAATAAGAAGCTGGATGTCAATCTTCTTCCTAAGGAATCTCCCGGAAGTCGGCCTTAGAATGAGGATGCTCTTGTGTGAAGTCAACCCTGGATCATTGAATCATCACTTTTTGAAATCCAACACTGGATGTAGCAACCGTTTCTAGCTTGTGAATCAGGAGTTCAGGTATTGGCACGGTGAAAGTTTTCAATTTAGAGCCTTCACCGAGGATGAAGTATGTCCGGCTATGCATGGCATTTATTCAAATTCTGACGGTCATGATAATATTGACATCACGTTTGTCAAACTGGTTCTCAGTTCAAGTGATATTACACCTTTGACTCATACATTTAATAACATATTAACTTACTTACTTAAAGTTTGGAACATAGCGACGATAACTCCCATTAGGATAAACTCATGCTCCATCCTTCCTGAAGACTTTCAACTGATCTATTCACAGTGTTTGAACGGCTGATAATTGAGAAGGTTGGATTATATTTGAATTCTAAGTATTTACTTAAACATATCCATTTTAAGAAAACTATAACTCTGCTTATCTTACATTTCCAATCCTAATTGATATTAGTTAAATACATTGTTATACCGCTCATATCATACGTATCATATGTATGTGGTAAATTAGACTACGCATTTAGCAAAAAATTGCAAGTTGTTATAAATAAGTTATAATAAATCACCAGCTTATATGGATCCGAACGCTAAGATATTTACATGAAAAAATTCGGTTTGCGAAATCTGAATGGACGATGAATCGTACCTTACCTACTTCTTTACGCTGTAAAGTTATGGAATTCGCTGCCACTCCATATCGAAATGATGGTTAACCCTTGCAACTTTAAAATACCTTTAGGGTTGTTGTTGTGTTAAAAAAAATTTGTAGTCTTACCGGCACATTAATTAATTATTAATTGTCTTTAATAATTATTATTATTAGTTTTTAAATTAAACTTAAAATATGAACTCATTCAAGAACGCAAACTTTCTTTAAAGATTTGCTCCCATGTTTCTGAATGCAGTTGTTTACACCGATTTCGAAATCGTATTAATTAGAAATTGGAATAAAATCTTTATTTTTATTTAAAAAGGCAATTGTCCTCTTCGGTTACAAAGTTCACTGCTTTTTCATTGGTGCTAAACTACAGCTTCTAAGAGAGTACAAAATTTTTATATATATCAAAGGAAAAGTTCAAAGTTTGAATAAATCAGAAAACAGGTTAAAATACAATGGCACCACTTAATTATCATATTATTTTAAAACTCATTTCTAGTTTTTAGTAAACAGTTTCCGTTTGTTAACTGTTAGTTTATAAATAATGTTGAATTAAATCTTTCAACATTTTAATAGCACCATCAAAGATAATTTCCACTCGAGAATATCAAAATAGTGTTTTAAAAACTTGCCGGCTGTGGTAAATGAATAAATAGACATACGGTTTTCCTTTAGCTTAAACAAGGAATGAAATTATTCCGAAATAAAAATGGAAAGTTTGGAACTCTTTTTGTCGATGTGGCCTAAGCAATCCTTAGATAGATATGAATAACTGATCGGCAACGTATTTTTATCTAACTGTGTCGGCGTCACTGTTTAGTTTGGCTTGTCGTTATTGCAACTCTCATTGTCGCCAAAAACTGTTTTAAAAAACTAGAAGTTTGCAAACCAAATTTAAAAAAATTATTACAATTTGTAAATATTGTCAACGACAAGCATTTTTATAATATAATTTTTATTTTTTCGTGCTTACTTATTAGCTTCAATGATATAAAATTATCATTATAAGGAAAAAAGAAGCAAATGTTGCGTAAGAAGCCTATTTTCTTGACACCGTTATATCGCTTTACTTTCGCCATTAAACTAATTCCTTTTTTTTAAATCCGAAATTATTTTTTTATTTACTTTAAAACTTATGTTAGTTAGTTAGTTAGTTTCGCTGGTTAACCCAACAAAAACATTGTGAATGATATATTATTTTGATACTATGTCCATAGTTTAATGGGATCGAAAGCATGAAGGATTCCACTATCGCAAAATTTATAGTTTTTTGATACATCATTTTAAGTGTAGCGTCCAGTTATTCCTAGTTAATGTATTACATTATGTTTGTAGAAAATGGGCATCATAAAACAATTAGCGGGGTTGAGTAATTTAAGTTTTTAACGCGTTGGTGGACATGAGAGCCAATCTTGATGAAAAGCAGTTTTTCAATTGGTCATCCGCTAGGACGCTTCAAATAAACAAAAACTGATCCAACTGTTGGTGCAAGTAAGAAAGTGTAGAAATAGTTGTGGTCCAGCATTGCGTTGCATTACATCCCGAAACAATTTTCTTGTATGTATGTAAGTATGCTGGCCCATTTTTTTCGATTGTAATTTGCCAGCAGAAACGTTACGTTGTAGAAAATAATCTCGAACAACTCCTACAAGTCGGCGAGCGTGGAAACGGTTCCGATTTAAAATTACGGTATCATTTCTCTTAAGACAATTCGTCTTTGATAACCTAAGGAAATTATCGTTCGACTCTAATCATCTGCAGAGTTCTGTATTGCATCCAGCTTTTGTTATAATGGGTTCAATGCTGAATTGCTTGCTATTATTAATCCCCTTGAAAAATCGCTGGCTTGGGATGAACCAATTTCAGTTGAGTTCTGAATCATCAACACATTGCTTCTCAATCGAAAAAAAATAAATAAATGCATGGTTGATAAGAATGTTAAAAGGTTTACTAAAAAATATATATAATCGCTGACCCGGTTTGGTCACAGTAATTTTTATCGATTGTGATATGCACATGTATTTGGTAAAAATGCTCACCGGTTCTTTGAAACACTCGCAAATATTGAAAACTTAGGCGCTTTGATTGTTTTCAAAAGCATACAGAGAATGAAAGAAAACGTTCCTCCAATAGGGTTTGAAGAGGTTAATAAGTTCCACATCGTCTTACCTCTTGCCTCACAAGATGCCGTTAGTAGTTTTCATTCGCTAAAGTTTTCGAGTGTTCGTTATTAATAATTAAATTTCCGTTGGCTTCGATGGATGATTAAGAGAAATTGTTCTTCAAACAATTATATATACTAGCAAAAAGATAATTGTTTAAATTTGTATCGACTATACTTGGGTAATATGTAAGAACATTTCCGAGCGATTATTGTGTTTACGTTGTCCTACTGTTGCATATAATAAAATTTAATAAACATTGAGAACTGCAAAATATATAAAATGCGATACGATAGACATTTATAAGTGTGAGTATGTAATCACTTATAATATAGAATGTGTTTACGTCAGCTAGTTTATTAAAGGCAAAATAGTGTTCTTGTCTAAGAATTCGGAAAGCCATTGATTGCCGATGCGTTGCTATTACAATTCAAAAGATGCAAGGACAAGAAAATTACCTTGGTATGGGGAGCTACTCGTCTTCCTATATGTTAAAATAATGTCCGAGATAATTACGCATGTTACCGACAGCCAAAACCACTCGCTTTTAAATTTGACTTACCGTTCAGGGGATGTAGATATGTGACTGGCTGTTTCTCTACGGATGTACAGATATTGCGTTACTTTCATCAGCGCAAAGGATAAATCGAAAGGACTTTTGAGCAATAGAGGCTTCAACTCAGATCTTTGGCTGTTTCATTCGTCTTTTCCTGCAATTCGATTTCAATAATTCGTTTTTTTTTACCGCCAATGATATTATCACTTTTTTTGGAGGCACATAATTATGTTTCTTTTCGCAAAAATCACATTGCAACGGAAATCTGTAGGGTAGAGCAGCGGTAACTGAGGTGACAAGCATGTTATGTTCATATCATTCTTTCAGTCACTTGAAAATCGTTGGGAAAAGATGAAAAGACAAGTAGTTTGTGATTTTATGGGGAATTTAGTCAGAAATTCACCTGAATAATGTGGTAAAGTTTGACAATGCGCTTCATAAAAAAGTGACAGGAGCCTGGTAGATTCGTAGTATTTAGAGAGCTTCGTTTTTACAAACTGTTTAGTTTAAAATGGAAAACGAGCAAGCGAAGGCCGTTAAGAGAGAATGGAAATGAAGTGTGTATAAAGCACGGAAGAAATTAAACAAATATGACGGACGGTGGTTAATTAATTAAACGAAAAGTTGATGAGCTTGCAGGTAAGATATCTCCGTCCAACATTCTCGTTCTATAACGCGTAATATATGAAAAATATCCAAATCGATGCGAGAGAATATTTCAAACACCAAGAAAGCATTGTAATTAAGAAGTATTGCCAGCGTAGTAGTCTAAAAAACCGTCCAATTAACAGTGTATTAAGCGTATAGTAAAGTACTAAAATGAAAAATTCAAAAAATCGAAGTCCAAAAGACGGA